GCTGACCAAGCCGTCGTACCGGGCTGGGTAATAAGAGAAAAGAAGGAGGGGAGAGGGAGGGAAAGAGAAAAAAGGAGCAAAGAAAAAGAAAGGAAAAAGGAAAAGAAAAAGGGCCCTAACCCTTTTTTTATTGCAATAATTATGTTCAAGTTAATTATGAAGCTTGTTATTTCTCTGCTTTCAGTTTATTTGTTTACTGCAATTAAAGCGTTCCAAAAAGTATCAAATAAAAATATGAAGAAATAAAACCATTTCTCTCTCTAACTGTATCGCGACAAAGTAAGTAAAAACATGCCTACTTGACTTGCTACTTAAGCGTCTGTACAGTAGGCCTACTAATGCGTGTATACAACGAAAGATATTTAGCTTACTTATTTCCTTGTTGCCGATTCAATGGCGAACGTTCCAACAGAATTTCAGTTATTTCACCGTGGTTGATGGCCGACGCCATTTTGTCACGTTTCTGAGTATAACACCAACTTGCACAAAGATAACTTAATATCACAATCTTTGATTCGAAGCGGAATTAGATGAGAGACGTTTTTAATACAAAAATGAGGTGCACATAGTCAATCAATTCACAACACGTAATCAAAGCAATTTGTACAGGCCTATGTATGTCCTTGATACCATGAAGTAAATAGTAGATACGTCAATCGAAAGTTGAATAGGCCTACCGGTAAATAATACTGCAAACCAAAACTCCTGAGTTTTACTTCCTTATTGGCGAAAAAAAAAACAAAAAGAAACAAACAAACAAAACAAATAATAAAAAAAAAATTAATAAATAAAAAATAAAATAAAATATTGTATAAATCGCCTTTGTCGTATTAATCATGATTGATTTTCAATATTTTAAGAACTTGAAATGACCTTTACTGACAGTTTTCTTGTTCATTACACGAACATCATCTCGGGGCGAAGCCAAGGTAAAATGGGGAGGGGGTTTAAAGCCTTGCGAGCACAACGACCATGGCCAACCAGGGACGTAGCCAGGATTTTGAAAGGTGGGGAGCCGTTATGCGAATTACGTATGACCCCGGTGGGGTCAAGGGGGCGAATCCCCCTATGAAGTAGCGCACTCTGAACGTTCTTAGGACTGTTTGAGAGGATAAAATGAAAATTGCAATAGACGCATTATAAATAAGCGAAAAAATAATTATATAATAAATCAACAGTGGCAGATCCAGGAATTCGAAAGAGAGGTGAACCAGGGAGGGACTTTCACAGACCGAGGAACCACCCACCTCAGCCCCACCATGGTTGGGGCTAAGGCAAGAAAATTTATGATTAGGGCATCTCTAGATGGCCGGAAATTACACTCTCGCACTTCAATTTGAATTTATTTTTCTTTTTTCCCTTAAAAAAATGAAGGGGGTGCCTTGAATCCACCTCTGCTCATGTATAACGTGTACTGATGCATATTTACTTTTTAAGTGATCCCAGGAAAGAATTTGTATTGGCTCAAGAATAAGCTTTAAAATTTTAACACTGTGTACAAAGGGGGGAGCCGCGGCTCCCCCGGCTCCCCCCTGGATACGTCCCTGTGGCCAACTAGCCCGGGGGTCAAGAGCAGATAAGAGCTCCCGGACGGGGTCCAGGGTCGAGAGGCCCCCGAAAATTTCTATAAAATTAGTTGATTTTAGTGAGGCGGATATGTGACATTTTTTTATCAAGACGTGCACTTCTGGAAAGAAGCGTGGAAGTTTGTCCTAGGGGTTTTTGAGTATGCCGATTCTAAAAATTGCGGGAACCACGATGTCAGTACTCCAACCGTTCCAACCGAAAATTGGAAAAAACAAAAGGGCCGCCAAAAAACTCATTTACGTAGGTATTGACACCAAGATCATGGTAATGTGGACACTTAGAGCATTTAAACTTTATTGCGAAAATGCAAAATAAATATTCAAAATGGCCGCCAAAACACATTTCTAGTATTAAAATGACTGCGAGTGACCTAACTACCATGACATTAAGTGTTCACAGCAATGCTTTAGATCAAGTAATCTAATTGATCATATGAAGTAATATATATATATATATATATATATGTATATATATATATACATATATATATAGCCTATATATATAACTACATGTATATATACTGTATATATATATATACATATATGTATATATAACTACAATAATATCTTTATTGCAAAAATAATTATACATTTAGCTTACTTATTTGGCCAACAAAACCAGGATTTTGGTAATAAACTGGCTGTAAGTGCTCTGACCACCACAATCTTGGTTGTAATACCTATGCTTTCCGATCCTCTACGAATAAACTATTCAAACATTTTATGTTAAAAATACAGTATAAATTCAAAATAAAAAATGGCCTCTAAAAAGGGGGATCAGGTTCACCGATTGTCTTTACCTTGGTTATCAACAGCTGTTTTATATTGCATATTCCGGTGACAATACACCTGAGGCCGAGGTGGGTGTGAACTCTCAAGCAAGTGGCTGTTCCCAAACTTTCCACCTATACTTTGTAGAAGAAATTACACTACCGCTGCCACAAGCTAAAGTGTAGCACCACAAACTAAACTACTGTAAATGTCACAAATACAGATGGATACAAAACTGTTCTTTAATTCTAATTCTCATTTGAGTATTTTTTATTTGAGGAACTGACACTAAACATGCGAGGCCGAGGTAGGTGTGAACTCATAAGCAAGAAGCCGTCAGTACTGTACAAAGAACTTTGAAGCTGGTTATGAATTAAGAGATGCATACTGCCTTCAGTGTTTTGTAAAACTCCTTGTAGCTAATAGTATCTGCATAACGCTCAGTCTTCGCTGTGAGGTGTATCCACCAATTGTTTTTGATTTCTCGTACTTCACACCAAAAGTTGCTGTAGGTAATATGAAAGGTTGTTTTTTTTCATAGGCTGAGTAAGATGTATCTCTTGTGGGCGGATATCCTTTTCATTTTCTTCAAGCCAGTCTTTGATTTTCCTTGTGGAGAACCCGTGACTTCTTCTAAGGTCTGGTGGATAGCAGTTTTCAGGTGTGACAACAATTCTGGACAGGAGTTTGCAGTGTAACTTGCATCCTAAAGCTTTGATTGAAGTTTCACCTGGATGTCAGATTTCATTGCAACTGACTGCAAGTGGCCAACCTGAAACTTCTCCCTTTCAGTGTTTCCAGGATGTTGAACTTGCCATCTGTGTGGGTGTTCTGTACCAGGCTGATCAGATCAGTGTAAAACTTGCCCTTAGCGTCAGCTTGAACGATCGGACATTAAATGCTGACGAAAGTAACATGATGATTGCTTTGAAGTGAGGCACGTGAAGATGATGCGATCGGAGTGACCAGTTGTATTATTGATTTTTAGGCAATTGAGTTTCTCATCCTAAAAGCACTCACAAGACATTTTAGCTGTCTTTAACTTGTCTGATCAGTTGTGAGTGAGTGAGTGAGTGAGTTGAGAGTGTAGTGTTGTGAGATTGTCTAAGTTCTTAAATGCTGCCTTCCTTCGCTAAGAGCGGCAATGTCAATATGAAATTGCGACCCAGTTCATGTACAAAAAAAAAAAAAAAAAATCAAAAATACAGTCACGTTCTGGACGTCAATATCTAATTTATCAAGCATAGTTATTCCAGCATGCAAGCTTAAGTTTTTGTACTCCATTTGAGGCATGCATCTGCCTTTCCGTAAGTGCTCGATGACCTGTTGGCTGCAGTCATCAACTGGAAGGAATGGAAAAGAGCATTGGTAAGGCCTCCGTTCCTACGCCATTCTCCATGTGGAGCAAGCAATGCTGTCTATAGACGGGCGGCTGTCACTCCCATAGCCAGCATCAAGCGGCCAATATCCCGGCCAGCCTACATGTAGGATCAAAACAACGGCTTACAGTGACATCTTCAACCTGACATTTTTCCACCCTTTCATTTCTCATTGGCCCCTTTCTCATTGATGCAAAACGTGAGGGGAAAAGGGATGCAGGCATGTTCTTGACGCCTGCAAAATAGAGTTTTTAAGTGGAGTACAGTGTGTGCAGTACCCACCTTTTCCTCCCCAGGTTTATTTGTTCAACACACATTTTTCATTTTCACACTAAAGATGTATGCTATTGTGTTTTATATACGTTCTATTGGATTCTTTGAAATAAAGAGCATAGGTATTAACACCAAGATTATGGTATTATGTACACTAAAAGCCTTCAAACTGCCAAAATTTGTGTTTTTTGGCTGCAATTTTGAATATTTTATTTAATTTTGCATTTTCACGATAAAAATGTATAGTATTGTATTTTAGTAATGTTTTATTGAATTCCTTGAACTAAAGAACATAGGTATTGACACCAAGATCATGGTAATGTGGGCTCTTAGAGCATAAACTGCCAAAATTGTGTTTTTTGGCGGCCATTTTGAATTTTACATTTTTGGGGGGAAGGGGTGGAGTGACATCGTGGTTCCCGCAATTTTTGAAATCGGCATACTCAAAAACAATATACTCAAACAAAGTTTCATGCTTCTTTCAAGAAGTGCACGCCCAAGTCACATATCCGCCCACTATTTCTGTAAACCTCTAACAAAAAACAAAGAATCAGTCTGAACGCAATATGTAAACCAGAAAATAAATTTGGTGTGAGATTTCACTCTTCCAATTTAATGGTTCCACCAAACAAAAGGTAATGATTTTAATAACCATGAACCTCTGATGAAGGCATATATTAAATAGGCTTTAAAAGCAAGCATTTTCTTGAACGTGAGAAAGCGTAGACCTATTTATCTTATTATCAGTTTTATACTATTTTCTTTAATAGTGTTGCTTAAGCCTAATATTAGCTTGACGCGTCTAAGGTGAACCATCTTGATAGATAAGCTGATTGTATTTGTTGTCAAAAGATATAAACTTTTAAGGTGGTCGCTTACGGTAGGTAAAGTCAAAAAGTGGTCGAGCTCGCTTACGGGAGGTGGTGGCTTACGAGAGGTATCTCGAGCCTCATAACCGTTAGACCACGGAGGCTTAATGTTTGAACGGATTCAAATACTACCAGATAAACTCTATTACACAATAGGTACGGCTAGAAACGAATAGTTGCATATAATATAAATCAAGATAGCCGTTAACACTGTTAAATTATATATAAATCATCAAAGAAAGGTATAAATACAGTGTTCGAATAAAGGACATAATAATACATCATCGTGTAGCAAGCTCTCAACGAATGTAGTCCTGTGAATAAGTGAATAAATACAGTGTTCGAATAAAGGACATAATAATACATCATCGTGTAGCAAGCTCTCAACGAATGTAGTCCTGTGAATAAGTGAATAAAGAAATTGTGCAATAAAATGCCTCTCCTTGACAGCAAAGCGGTCGCAGGCTCAAGTGCCGCCTGGACAGGGTTGCCTTGCCAGATAGTCGATCGACAGCTTCACGTCCCTCACGGCCACACACAAGTCGGTTCTAAGCCAGATGGTGAGGCCAGGTGGCCGAAATCCAGTATGCTGATGCAAGATTGGCGAGACCACTTTGCCAAGTACCACTTTGCCGAGTACCAGTTTGCCGACTCAAGAACAACGAATCCCAGAATAGCCGAACCCAGTTTGCCAAATGTCATTTAAAAGCAGTGAAACATTAACAGCAACATCAAATTCACGACGGAATACTCTGACCATGAACATATTTAATACTAAGCAGGTCCATGTGCTTACCTGACCGCATCTGCACATAGTGGTGGCGCTATTTCTATATATTTTTTTATGTAGTAAAGTATTTAAAGTTTTCAAAGCTTGTATTAACACCAGTTTATGTTACCAAATTAATTCACTCTAATTAAAGAGTCACGGATTTTTGCAATATCAAAATTCGATAACAGGCTCTTCAAATTGTTGCTATTTGCTATAAAATGATCGATTATAATGTATGTTTTAACTGATGTACTATTTTATCTACTAATC